TCTCTAAATTCTCTTACACGGCCACGCCTATACAGCCCCTGACAGGGAAGTTCTACTCACTGCCTTCACGTGGCACAGGTGTTGTTTACGAAAATGAGAGGACGAAAAGCGAATGTCCGGCGCTTTAACAGGATCCTAAACCAATGGTGCACATGGGCTGGCTCCAGTATCCTGCCTGAGGGAAAAAATGGCGTATGAACCAATCGTTTGTCACCAGCTGCCATGGGACTGCATCTCCTTACGCTGCTGCACTGCCTTGTGGGTTATACCTTTAGGTCGAAGGCTCGGGGTGTGGCCTCCTAAGGAAACCACCTGCTTCGGTTTAGGTACCAGGGGCAGTATCACAGCCCTCACACAAATCAAATGATATCTGTGTGGCGCATATGTATTTGGCGCCTCCTTGTATCAATATTTATGTGTTAAAATAAAAAAATTTAATGATTTACTGCATGAATATATATTTACAATATTACACGATTACTTACTTATTTACTCCTAGTACCCGTCATGAGATTCAAAGACCGCTCACCAGCATTCTCCAGCCAACTTTGTTCTGGACAATACTTTTTGATTATTTCAAAGTGCTATTCATTCTTTTGATGTCTACTTCCGATTCTTGGTGTAATGTGTTCTTCGGTGTTCCTTTTTTCTGTTTCTCTTCAAGATTCCGAGTTATGGCTTACCTCTTGTTTCAGCATGATGATTTTCACAATGTATTTTCTATTCATATCTAAAATCTTTTTCTAATTTCCTCTTCAGCTGTAAGTTGGTTTGTTCTCTTCCATAGTAGGTTGTTGTTTATAGTATCCTATCAAAGAACATTGAGTATGTTGTGTAAATAATTTTTTATAAATACTTTTACATTTTTGATCATGTTAGTGGTAGTTCTCCAAGTTTCAGCTTCATACAATAGACTATCTTGAAGTTTTTATTGATTATTCTGAAGTTGATATTGATTGACAGACAGTTGTTCTGAGTTCCGTGCATTTTTTCTTTGTAATGTAATATGTAATATAGGCTAGTTGAGTAAAGTTCAGAAGTTAAAATGAAGTTATCCCCTTTTACTTTTACTTACTTATGCCTGTTACTCCTCGTGAAGGAGCATAGGCCGCTCACCAGCATTCTCCATCCAACCCTGTCCCAACCAATCCTTTCAAGCTCTTTCCAGTTCTTATTCATCTTTTTCATATCTGCTTCTATTTCCCGACGTAATGTGTTCTTTGGCCTTCCTCTTTTCCGCTTCCCTTCAGGATTCCAAGTTAGCGCTTGTCTCGTAATGCAGTTTGATGATTTCCTCAATGTATGTCCTGTCCATTTCCATCGTCTTTTCCTAATTTCCTCTTCAGCTGGAAGCTGGTTGGTTCTCTCCCACAAAAGGCTGTTGCTGATGGTATCCGGCCAATGGATGTTGAGTATCATGCGTAGACAGATATTAATAAATACCTGTACCTTCTTGATGGTGGTTGTTGTAGTTCTCCAAGTTTCATCTCCGTACAGTAGAACTGCCTTGACGTTCGTATGGAAGATTCTGACTTTGATATTGGTTGACAGACAGTTGTTTTGAGTTCCATATGTTCTTCAGTTGAAGGAATGCCGCTCTAGCTTTGCCAATCCTCGCCTTGACGTCTGCATCTGAACCTCCTTGTTTATCGACGATGCTTCCCAGGTATGTGAAGGATTCCACGTCTTCCAGAGTTTCGCCATCAATAGTGATTGGATTGCTGTTCTCCGTGTTGTGTTTGAGGACCTTGGTTTTCCCTTTGTGTATGTTGAGGCCTACTGATGCAGAGACTGCTGCTATGCTGGCTGTCTTTATCTGCATTTGTTCGTGTGTATGTGATAGGAGGGCTAGGTCATCTGCGAAGTCCAAGTCGTCTAATTGGTTCTGAGCTGTCCATCGTATGCCGTAGTTTCCCTCAGATGTCGAAGTCTTCATAATCCAGTCGACCACCAGAAGAAACAGGAAGGGAGAGAGTAGACAGCCTTGTCTTACTCCGGTCGTTACTTGGAATGCGTCTGTCAGCTGTCCTCCATGCACTACTTTGCACTGTAGTCCGTCGTATGAGTTCCGGATAATGTTGACAATCTTCTCAGGAACTCCGTAGTGTCGAAGAAGTTTCCATAACGTCCTCCTATCTACACTGTCAAATGCCTTCTCATAATCAATGAAGTTGATGTAGAGTGACGAGTTCCACTCAATTGATTGTTCGAAGATGATCCGTAGTGTCGCAATCTGGTCTGTGGACGACCGGTCCTTACGGAATCCAGCTTGTTGATCTCGAAGTTGAGCGTCAACTGCGTCTTTCATCCTGTTCAGTAACACTCTGTTGGAAGTTATCCCCATTATCTAGTAAATGAAGATCGATTACACGGTTGAAAACCATCTATCCGTTAAGTTCCAACTTTTGTGGAATATATTCAGAAATGTAAACATAAATCTTTTTTTCTGTTTTTTTTTTCATTGTATATGCTTTGGTACTTACAGGTAAACTGGTAAACACAATTAGAGGTAACATAAAGCAGGTATTTGTTTACATTTGTTTGTTTGTTTGTTTGTAGTGAGCATTTGATTTGATAATAGAGACATCAACTAAGATGGTGGATACGTCCTTTTTAATATTCCCTTTAGTAGAAAATCAATCTTCTTAGCTATTTTATCACATTTGAGACAATATCAACTGGTGAACAGAATTCTATCAGTCCGTTAACAAATTGCAGATATGATATTTGGTTTTAAAAATCATGATTAATTAAGCAGAAATAGATAATGGCTTATAGTGGAATCTAGAATGCACGACACAATATCCTATTTGGGACTCGTCAAATGGATGTACCTACATCTTGAAGTTGATGTTCATTCTGGTACTTAAACCCAATACCGTTTGCTTCAAACTCCATCGTATTATTCACTTAAGATAATACTGAAGCAATACACACAGGATGCATATATGCCAATAAGAAACTAATCAATAGCAATCCTAAACATCAATGGGAAAATACAAGTAAACAATATTAAGTGAATTTTAACTTCACCCCATTGCACAAACAAGTGGCTATCAAGACTCAGTAGATAAGTGGATAACACGATGGCATTTGAAGTAAACGGTATAGGGATCGAATCACAGAGTGAACATCAACTCTGAAATGCAGGCATATTCATTTGACGAGTCCCAAATAGGTCGTTATGTCGCACATCCTGTATTCCACTTCTATCCACTATCCATCTTTGCTTAGAATGCTTGTCAATTAAAGCAATATCAATGTAATCCGTACAAGAGACACATATACCAATAAGAAACTGATCAATTTCAGTCTTAAACAACAATGGGACGATTCATGTAAACAATAATACTAAATGAATTTATTGAGAGAATTATTATCTACTCATGTATTGCTATTTACTAATCTAATTGACATATAACTAAAATCTATTTGTAGTTTATAAATAATTTTACATTACAATAGTTGAGATCATGAGTCCATTGAAACTAGACCGCCATGGAAAACCTGAAAGCACTGGACGGTTGTTTCGTCCTATTGTGGGACTCCTCAGCAGTGTGCATTAACCAGTCATGAAAAGAAGCAACATGGTTCGTAGAAATTGATAAGTTATGTGTTATGTAGACTTATATTTTATCAAGCCAAATGAAAGAGATTCACTTCTGAATAATGTAAGAATTGATAATATAGCCTAGAAAGATAATGAAGAATTCACAATTTAACTTTGTGGTTTAGTATTAAGTTCGCTACTTGATTAACGGAGAATACAAATTACGACTATAACACTTGAACGCTAAGAAAAATATTATGCTACTGACTAATAGTAGTATATCACATTGATATTCTAGAAAGCTCCACCATGTTCTGATTGACTGGAATTCTTCGGCTCTGGAGGCTCCATTATAGTTCTTGGAAGCTGACTCAACATTTAGATCATTCAAAAATATTAGATCCATTCACTTAAATTCTCAATCTTCTTCATTATTTCAATATGTTTGTGAAAATGATGATGAAATTTGATAAAAATTCTATAAGATGATAGCATGGATTAGTAATAATAATAATGAATACTTTTTATGCATATTATAACTTCCTAATACTCTATAGTAACAACATTTTCAAATGATTAATTACCATAGTAACTCTTTACTTATATTGAAATTCGATTCAATATATGTACCAATTAATAAGTGGGAAGCAGTGACCAGTGAAGTTCAACCAGATTTGTTGTGAGATAATAACTCACTGATGACAATGATGGATATGTAGCTCAATTTTGTGTATTAGTTGAAGTTAGCTATTAACACTATTGGATGCTGGTCCGCTACATAGTTTAGTGGTTAAGTGTTCACATGTGAGACTGATAGGTCCGTGGTTCGAATCTCTAGAGGTGGGATGATGGATGCGTACTACTGAGGAATCTCACAATAGGATGAAGTGACCATCCAGTACTTCCAGGTTTTTCATGATAGTCTAGTCTCAACTATTGAAATTATTATAATATCCACAAAACCCTTTCTGATACAAATGAATAAGTGTGACATCAAAAGATTAATAATGAGTTACAAGGAAGCGGGAGGGGGGGTTTGTCGGGTAATAAATATTTACTATTTATAAACTACTTAAATAAATAACCATTAAAAAGAAGAAGAAAAAATAGTGAATAATAACCATATAACAACTAAACTTTTATCATTTTCATATATGATGTTTCTAACTCTATAGGAATATGATATTAAAATGGCGCCAACTAGATCATCATCATCATCATCATCATCATCATATACATATAAAGTATATTGAATATTGAATAGTATGATTCAATAAGGTAATAGATCATTTGAATGAATACAAGATGTAGCATATAAGATTAAAATTAGTGAGGAAAATAAAAGTGAAGATAGTTTCTTCATTAGATTTCTATATAGACATTATGTGTAAATCTGGTTTATTCATTAGGAATGTTCAAGAAAAAAACGGGTGAAATAATTAACGTTTGATTAAGTAATGTTATTATTAGGATTATTATCAGTAGTAATATCAGTAGTATTTGTAGTCGTCTTAGTCCTAGTAGTAGTCGTAGCCCTACCAGTAGTCGTTGTAATAGTAGTAGTCATGGTATTACGCGTAATAGTAGTAGTAGTAGTAGTAGTAGTAGTAGTAGTAGTAGTAGTAGTAGTAGTAGTAGTAGTGGTAGTAGTAGTAGTAGTGGTAGTAGTAGTAGTAGTAGTGGTAGTAGTAGTAGTGGTAGTAGTAGTAGTAGTAGTAGTAGTAGTAGTAGTAGTAGTAGTAGTAGTAGTAGTAGTAGTAGTAATTATACTGAACATCCTGTAGTGAACGAGAACAAAAGTTCTGGAAAACCAAGTATATCTGTATATGAGATTACAGAATCTGAGAATTATACATTGAATACTTCATTTGCAAAATATTCATCAATGATCTCAGATTTTGTTGTTCCTTCGTTTCCATATCAATCAATCACTGTCCTCGTTCTCTTCTCTTCTCTTCGATCTTCTTACACCTTCTGCCGTTAATCATTTCACTTTCGATTGATGATAAAGTTTATTTATTATTAGCTTTATTTAATATAATAGTTTTTGGTACAATCTCGATGTCTTAGCAACAAGTATTTCAGTGAGTTTCCTTTCTTTATTTTTTGATCGATATTGATGATAACATACTGAGTGATCAGTGTTTAGATATTAACATATCAGAAGTCGACAACTGAATAATATTCATTCTTTTGAATGTATAATTCCAGCCACCATGATGTCTCTGATGATGATTGTACTTTATTGTGTAAGTTGTACTGAGAAAGGTCATAAGGTTTTGATAAACGCACCTGAGTAGGATATACGATTAATAAACATGATGAAGTGCTTAAACAAACAATAATAATCATTTGCTCCCTTGTGACTGAATTCAAGAGATACTCCTGGAGTTCTAGTGGGAAGCCGTTACCAGTAGAGTTCAACCAGGTCTGTTGTGAGATATCAGCTCACTGAAGACAATGTTGTACGGTGGCGCAACTTCGTGAATTGGTTGAAATTAGACATTAAGACCGTTAGATGCCGGCTCAGTGGTCTAGTTGGTTAAGCGCCTGGCGCGAAACGGATAGGTCCTGGGTTCGAATCTCGTGAGGAGCGGGATCGTGGATGAGCACTGCTGAGGAGTCCCATACTAGAACGAAACGGCCGTCTAGTGCTTCCAGGTTTTCCATGGTGGTCTAGATTGAATTGAATCATGATTTCAACCAGTGGAAAACAGATAACTTATTAAAATATGTAGATGACGACAGGAATATTTAGCCGAAATATTCAAGTAGGTCGTCAAAGAAAACAACTAAAATGTCTTATAGTCTAAAAGTAAAAGTTTAAATTGTTTACTAAGAGGTTTAATTGATTATAAGATGGTGGAGAAGATTTGTAGATCGGGCGGATGATTTTGATAGAGTTATATTCTTTGAACTGAATGATTTGGTCTTGGAGCTTTCATCGTTCTTGTGAACGACATCATCAGCAGAAAATTCAAGTAGAAGTGAAATGTTCAAAATGATTCACAGCTTGTCCTGTAGACCTCAATCTTGATTGATTACTATTGAAGATAGATCAATCAACATTGAGATCTACTAGACAAGCTATGAGTCATTTTGAACATTTCACTTCTACTTGAAGTTTGTGCTGATGATGTCATTCAGAAGAATAATGAAAGCTCCACGACCATACATTTAAAGATCATGAATCGATCAATGTTAAACCACCATTGATAACCTAGTGATACTGAACTACCGTTTCGTTTTAATATGAGATTGTTCAGCAGTGCGCATCCTTGATCCCATTCCAAAGGGTTTCGAACCCAGGACCTTCAATTTTGCCCACGAATACTTAACTCTTAGATTGATGAACCGACATCGATGTTGATATATTTGCATATCTTTGAATTCTGAGAAACTATCGTTTGTTCTCAGCAATTTCTATGAAGTAAAGACAGAAATATTGATGAGTATCTAAGCCTTGTTTAAGTAAGGGATTCGAATCAAACTTATGACAGTACTTAGCTTTTATTATGTCATATCATATTCATACCAGTATCTCAGTCAAATCCTTTAAGAAAATCCTATAGGTTACTCTTTTTTTATGAATATGTCAGTAAATTCATGAATAGTGAAAATATGAAGAAGCTATCTATAAAATACTAATTGTTTTTATGTCAGTACATTCTGGGATAGAGTTGGATGGAGGATGCTCATGTCAGAACTATTCTCCTAAACGAGGAGTAACAGGTGTAAGTAAGTAAGTACGCAAGTAAGCAAGCAAGTAAGTAAGTAAGCAAGTAAGTAAGTAAGTAAGTAAGTACGCAAGTATGTAAGTAAGTAAGTAAGTAAGCAAGTAGGTAAGTAACTAACTAACTAAGTAAGTAAGTAAGTAGGTAAGCAAGTAAGCAAGCAAGCGAATAACCAAGTAAGTAAGTAATGTTTTTAGATATAGTGAATAGTTTACTCTTATTAATCTGATAGACCTAATATTTCTCACTGTAGTAATACCTAAATGAATATTTTATATTGATATACATATTATAGGTGGTAAAAGCTAATCTATTGTCTGACTACTCAAATCACTTAACTATAATTCATAATGAAATAAACTATTTGGTCACTGTCATAATTGTGAGTAGGCACCAATAAATAATACAATACTGTAAGAAACTAGCTATCTAATGTTTCATTCATTCTGAGCGACTGTTAAAAGATACATCAATCTTTGATGTAGTTTATGTGATCACACCCGGAACCTTTTACCTGAAGGAATAATCCTCAAGATAGTGAAGTAATGTTAGGCGATGCACTCCTATGGTAGACGGTGACCAACGATTAGTTCATATGCGAATTGTTCCTTCAGGATACTGGATACTATGTGCACCATTGGTTTGAAATTAGGGTTTTCCAATCACCCTAGGTAGACTCTCGTGTTGACCAACCCTTTCAAGGCACTGGACATTATCTTTTCTTCCTCTCACTTTCCTAAACAACACCACCGCAACAAAAAGGCAATGAATAGGACTGCCCTGGAAATTGAAGGTTGTTAGGATAGGAAATGAGGGTGAGATCACCTTGTTATTCTTTGAATAAGTATGATTTCAACATGACATTGATTCAGTATAAAACTGTTTGTTGTTAGTGTAAAATACATTCACTACAACATGTAGTACGTGTTTGTATTAATTCCATGGAAAATCCGGTTTTGCATTTCTCCTATTTCAATTATACGTACTTGTTTTTAGACAGTAAATAAAATCTTCTATACGAGTGTAGTGAACGAGAACACAATTGGACACAATCGAATATCTTAGTAACATCTCAGAACCATATAGTATATACTTCATTTTCAAAATATCCATCAATTGTCTCAAACTTGACTGTTGCTTTTACTAATGTCAATCAATCATCTCAGACTTCACTGTTCTTTCGTTTCCACACCAATCATTCTCTGTTCTTGTTCTTGTTCTCTTCTCTTCGATCTTCATAACCTTTTTGCTGTGATTTTGAACCCGACTAGTTATCATGTAATATTATTCGCCAATCGATATATGACTTATTCAATCTTCGTATTGTACTAAACCAATGACGTTTGACTGGTATGATCAGTTTATTGTCCTTATTGGTCTCCTGTTTGTCTGGCTCATCCAGTTTATTCCACAACTCGAATAACAGCTTGCATTATATCAATTCTATATTTCAAAGATACTTGGTTTATATTACCAGCCGAATAGACCGCATCAAACTATCAAATAAGTAATAACATTTATACAAGATTTAGTCAAACGTGACTGTGAATGTAGGAGACTTTAATTAATAAACTGGGAATAGCTGGGAATAACCATAGTGAATCGTATCATAATAATAGTCCATAAGTGAAAATGAAGTTTATAAGAACAGGAATATGTAGTTAATGAATAGTTATACAATAAGGATATAGATATCTATCTAATATTCGTCCATTAATAGTTCACAGAAGTAACCCATTATTCAATCTTTACTAGAATATAACACATCTATCGCTAGATATTTCACTTTTCATTGATGCTACACATACTACTTATTATCTGTCGACATCAGTAGTACACATATCACATCATCAATGGGTTGTTTTTTTTTAAAAATCTTTCTCCTTGAATCGTAACAAGTTTCCTGTTATAAGTATTCATTATATTGTGTTATCATAAAGGCATGTGATTAAAGTGATTTGCTTGCTACCTTTTAAAACCCTATCGGTTATAATGACGAACATAATTCAGTTCTGTAAATAATCATCTACTATCTTTTCTCTTCTTTTTGTCATTGTTGTTGTTGTTGTTGTTGATGTTCTCCTTCTTCTTTCATATCTTGTAGATTCATGATATTCCATGTCAATCATCCTGTCTATCAATTTTATCTATATGTGGACAATTACGTAATACACCTCAATCATTTTTTATGAATATTCCATCTACTTGTCCAAATAATATCATTCAAACATCACATAAAAGATGGATATATGACAATAATAACAATCATCCTCCTCCTCATCATCATCATCATACAACTATATCTCCAATACAATCCACTAAAAATGATCATACTTATAATCATATACCTAAATTTAAACAACACTATACTCAATTACCTAATTCTATATCTTATATCTCAACTAGATCATTATTTTTAAATGATCATAATGAATATAACAAGATAAGATCAAATGATCATCATCATCATCATCATCATCATCAGTATCATCATCATCATCATCATAGTCATCGTTATCCTCGTCAAATCAATAAAAATAATCAATATTATATAGAACAATCTAAACAATCGATTGATTATTTAAATAATAATTATCATTTTAATAAATTACATAATAAATTACCATTTACACCAATACAACATAAATTATTATTAACAAAAGAGGATTGTTTATTATTACCACCAGGAGGTTGTGATAATTGGATAGATTCTTCAATGAATTTACAACATTTAAAATCATCGAATTATAAAGAATATTTAAAATGTAAGTTAATGTTTACTTCTATAATAATAATAATATTATTATTATTAAAGAAAGAATTAGGCTAGAAATAAGTATTTTAAGTAGTATAATTTATACAAGCAAGTGACTATAAAGATTTTAGTAGGATAAATAGGTAACAGGATGATGTTTGAAGTGAATGGTATTAGGTTCGAGAGTCTCTGGGGTGAATATCAATTCTGAGATATAGGTATATGTATTTGATAAATCCTAAAATAGAATGAAACGTCCAGTATCTTGGATACCATTGCTAATCACTATTCATCTTTGTTTATAAAGACTATGAACTATCAAGACAGTTCGCACAGAGAGAGAGAGAGAGACTGATCAATTACAGTTGTAAATAACAATGAGAAAATACAAGTAAAACAAGACCAAATGAATTTAAACTTTACCCCATTGCATAAGCAAGTGGATATCAGGACTTAATAGCTAAATAGATAACATGATAGCGTTTAATGCGAACGGTACTGAGTTCGAGTCCCGAGGTGAACATCAACTCTAAGAAATAGGTACATGCATCTGACAAATCCTGAATAAGACAAAACATGTGTCAAACTGGATTCCACTACTAACCATTATTCATCTTGGCTTACAAAGCTTATAACTTTAGGCAATATCAAGACAGTTCGCACAGAGAGAGAGAGAGAGAGAGAAACTGATCAATTATAGTCCTAAATAACAATGAGAAGATACAAGTAAAACAACACCAAGTGATTTTCAATTTATGACTTTTTGATATAGTATCTATGCAACTATTGAATTCCTTGAAGAAAAAATTAAAAAATAAAAAAAATAAATAAAAACCAAGGTCATGTGCATACAAACAATTTTCATATTTCATCAAATTACATAATGAATAGGATTACTTCATGTCTATATGTATATGTGTATGTATTTATTACAGCTTTTTAGAATACCTTTATACTTAGGTGAATATAAATGTATTGTTTATATATAATGGGAAAAGAATTTCATTCATTATAAGATTACACAATTATTGATCTATTAGTACTTACTTACTTACTTACTTACTTACTTACTTACCTACTTACTTACTTACCTACTTACTTACTTACCTACTTACTTACTTACCTACTTACTTACTTACCTACTTACTTACTTACCTACTTACTTACTTACCTACTTACTTACTTACCTACTTACTTACTTACTTACCTACTTACTTACTTACCTACTTACTTACTTACCTACTTACTTACTTACCTACTTACTTACTTACCTACTTACTTACTTACCTACTTACTTAGTTACCTACTTACTTACTTACCTACTTACTTACTTACTTGCTTACTTACTTACTTACTTGCTTACTTGCTTACTTACTTGCTTACTTGCTTACTTACTTACTTACTTACTTACGCCTGTTACTCCAGGTAGAGGAGCATATACCACCTACCAGCATTTTCTATTCAAACCTGTCTTGGTCAATACTTTCCAGTTCTTTATTCATCCTTTTCATATGTGGTTTCTATTTTTCAGCGTAATGTGCTCTTCGGCCTTCCACTTTTCTGCTTTTCATTTAGGATTCTATGTTAGGGCTTCTCTTGTGATGTAGTTTGATGATTTATGTAATGTATGTCCTATCCACTTTCATCGCTTTTTCCTAATTTCCTCTTCATTTAGAAACTAGTTTGTTCTCTTTCACAGTAGACTGTTGCTGATTGTATCCGGTCAATGGATGTTGAGTATCTTGCATAGATAATTATTTATAAACACTTGTACCTTTTTGATGATGGTTGTCGTAGTTCTCCAAGTGTCAGCTCCATACAGTAGGACTATCTTGATATTGGTATTAGTTGACAGTTTTTCCGCTTGTAGCTCTTCTACATTTATGAATGAAATTCTCATTGATCTACATTTCAATTTGTAGTTTATGTATAATGGAATTTTATATCAGTAGTATATAGCAGTTAACTTTATTTTGTCATACATAATTAAATCAAGTTTAATATAAATTCATTTGATATTTGATTGAAATCATGAACTCATTAATGTTAGACCACTATTGAAAACCCAGAAGCATTGGACTGCCGTCTCGTTTTATTGTGGGACTCCTCAACAGTGTACATCCACGATCTGTTATTTCGAGTGAACAGTGAAGCTAATCCGTGTCGGTTAGAAATAGGTATATACCTCAGACAATGGAAGACAGTAGTTCAATTTTGTGGATTGATTGAGGTTAGACATTAAAACCGTTGGATGTCGGCCATCTCAGTGGTTTAGAATTTAAGCGTTCGTGTGCGAGACCGAAGGCCCTGGGTTCGAATCCCGCGAGCGAGATCGCAGATGTACACTGCTGAAGAGTTCTGTACTAGGATGAGACGATCGTCCAATGATGTGTTAAAACCAAAAAAACAAACAAGGAAACAGATAACTTATTGAAATATGTAAATGATAAGAACGGATAGCGCAATTATTCAAACAAGCTACCGTAGTAGGCATTAAATAATAAATAAGAAAATGGTGAATTATGTAATTAGAATTAAACAAATAGCTATTTCATTTTAGATATTTACATCACTTAAAGTTATTGAAGAAATACCAGACGATTTATCAAATAGACTATTTACAATGGATTCCAATTACTTTGTTTATTTATAATAATTTCAATGGTTAAGATCATCAGTCAGTTGAAGTTAGACCAACATGGAAAACCTGGAAGCATTGGACAACTGTTTCATTCTATTATAAGACTCCTCAGCAGTGCGTATCCGCGATCCCGCCTCCCAGGATTCGAACCAAGAACCTATTGATCTCATTGTTTGTAGAAAATATTCCAATTAATCCTGATCAATAAAATGAAGTATAAAATTATATTATTGAGTTTTGTGGTATAGTAGTCAGTAATAATCTGTACAGAACCTCGGACATATATACATCAGTACAAGTTATTACGGCCAGACTGTAGTTTATGGACGAACCAATCAGGTTTAGAATAACAGGTCTCGGGTTTTGGCACGAAATTCATTCATCTATTTGGTTAAAGAGGGTTTTGGGATTTTAGCTGATGTTAGTTCGTGATAAAAACTTTAAATATAATTTTTAATCCTAATCATCAACTGTAGATCACAATCCTTATCCTTCATACAGGCTTATAACCCTCATTTAGCGCTAGTCAGTAGATGAACATTCTAAAGGCCACTTTAGTGTCGATCAAAGGTTTTCCATAAATTATAGTCTCGCTATTATTACAATAGTAATGGAAGAGGAAATTGACTCGCTTATTAACAAAACAATTGAAATTACAGTATTATTAAAAATGATGTGATAGTAAGACTCCAATCATAAAGAGATATGTGGAATCTTTTCATTTCAGTCAATCAGTCAGCAGCAACATAGAGCTTCGTACATATGTACACCAGTTCGAGTTGCCATGCCACATTAGCACAGAGATACAATTTTCAATTCAAATGTCATAGTGGTAGAGTTAGTAAAAGTATAAGCAGTAATCGGAAAGATTAGAATTTGAAGATGTTATTCAAGGAATATAATTCAGTGAAATAAATTTGGAAAGAGAAAAAAAGGAAGGGGACATAAAGAATTCAGGAGATTAGAATTTGGGAGAACACAAAGTGTGGATGCACCTACGCCATTGTAAACGATTTTGAACCATGTCACATTCAAGATCTTTAATCATCGATTGCTATCATCGCGCAGATCCCTACCAAGTAATTTACACATACCAACACGGCTCAGTCCATTTGTCAGTGACTTCATGGATTTGTGTCATGTTTTGTTTTGGCCTCCGCTAGCTACTATGACCAATATTAAACTACTTAACGTCTTTAGCCATAGATCAAGATTATCATACAAACCCCAACCAAATAGTTTAGGTCTACTAATAAATTAGTGATTTCAAGAATCCATTCCGAGTTTTCATTTGACTATCTCGTACTTTCTTTCAGGATATTTTGCCCAAGTCATCACTTCGTATATGTGTGAATAAAGGCGAGTCATACGTTTAACATGTTTCAATTACTTTAGTCGGCGAAAATCGGCAGCAATCGTAACTTATTAAACATATCTATTTAATATTCTACATCTAACTTTGAGATTACTCACTCGTTGGCTTCACTGTTTACGAACAATATTTCGAACATAACTATTGTCAAATACCAATTATATCCTTCATCTTAGAAAAAGACTACATATTCTAGTTAAAAGGATAAACAAAGTAGACTACTGATCGTTATATGTGCAAATAGATGAGATCGTTTAAGTATTCAGCTCATAGTATACTCTCCTTAGATATGATATCTTCATAAAGTCCTGTATTTATTTTAAAAGAAATGCAAGTCATACATTAACTTACCATTTGTCACAATTGATTGATCACTGGGTGGTGACCAGTGTCATGTGTGTCAAGTCCTTCTTAGTGCAGATCGAATGTTATCGACCATGTGGCAATGTGGCCAATAGTCTTAATAACTCGACGTTGCGTGCACTATGTTGGAGTTAGTCAACAGGAAACCCTGGACCCGGGTTTCGTGCTACTTGGCACTCGTCAGCAAGGTGTACCTGTATTCTTGGGGAAACTGGTGCTCCCTGACGGATTCAATCCCCTGTCATCCAGCTTTACAGTCAGAGACGTTAACACTGAGCTATCCGAGCCGCGACCGACCTCCTATAGGACTGAGATGTAATCACAATTGATTGATCACTGGGTGGTGATCAATGTCATGTGTGTCAAGTCCTTATTAGTACAGATTGAATGTTATCAACCATGTGGCAATGTGGCCACTAGTCCAGGTGACTCGACGCTGTGCGCACTATGTTGAGATAAGATGGTATTTGGAGGTAGTCAACAGGAAATCAACTGGATTCGGGTTCCCTGCTATTTGGGTGGTGATCAATTTCATGTGTGTTAAGTCCTACATCTTGCTGACGAGTATCAAATAGCACGAAACCCAGGTACAGGGGTTCCTGTTGATTACCTTCAACCACTATCTTAATTTAACATTTGTTTTTTTTTTCTTAACCATTATGACCTTTTTCATTAGACTTATGACCTTTTGTAAAACAATAAAATTACTTGGTTACTTCACCAAAGATGGTATATCAGTACTTGTTTCTTTATTATTTATTATAGGTCATCATGTGTTGTGTTCACTTTTGTTTATTTCTAGTTTCATGCATTAGATTTATGTGTACAGTTGAGATTATTATCATTTATAGTAACTATTGTTTCTTTGGATAAACTACCATCTTCATTGACCTAATACAATGTAAATGATAAGATTACATTATGTAGTTTTAGTAAACTGAAGCATTAAAAGAAATCATTACATATTTATAGATTTGTGGTAGTTGTAGCAATTGAATAGTTGAATTCATGAGTCGTTTTAAACTAGACCAATCTAGATAAACTGGAAACACTGAAGGATCGTTTCATTCTAGTATGGAATTAATCAACAATGTGCCATCTACTACTTTCAAGTTATTCAGATTGGTCTAGCTTAAATCGACTTATGAATCCAATCATTAAATTATTACAATTTTCACAAACCTTTATTCTAACAGTGACTAGTGATTGGCTTCAAGATGTATGTTCTAGAGTTCTATTGATTAGATGTGACTAGTGGAGTCAAATCGTGTCTGTTGAGAGACAGTTAAGCACTAAAGACAATTGTGGACTATCGCGCAATATCATGGATTAGTTGAAGTTAGACATTAACACCATAGAATGTCGGCACAGTGGTCTAGAGATTAGGCGTTCGAGCATCAGACCGAAAGCCATGGGTTCGAGTTTCTTTTGGTGTGGGATCATGGATGCGCACTCTTAAGGAGTTCTGTACTAGGACAAAACAGCTGTCCAGTACTTCCAGGTTTTCCATGGTAGTTTAACTTAAATCATCTGATGAATTTAACTGAAGATGCCCCAGGTATTTGGAGTTTGACAATGCTTTAACCAGTAACACCTTCTACTATGAATCGTACCCACCAAGTGAAACCAAAAGTCAGAAGAAAGGAGGTTTGAAGATATATTTGATAAGCTATCGATATATCAAGGATCAACTGATCTAGACTAGCTAGCAATTTCAGGGGATGTTGAGCACGGCGTTCCCACTCATGATCTGGTGTGGATGCATGATCGAACGCCTTCAGCTAGGTGAGTCCATTGAAACTAATGTGGTCAGCATCCAATATCGAAGACTTACAGAGCTATTCATTATGGGGATTTGTTTACCGCTACACAACCATTCATTACTGTGTTTGCAATACATTTATTTATTTATTTTATTTTAACACATAGATATTGGTACAAGGAGGCAACAAATACATATGCGCCACACAAATCTCATTTGATATGTGTGAGGACTGTGATACTATCAGGGTGCCCAAACCGAAGCAAGTGGTTTACTTAGGGGGCCACACCCCGAGCCTTCAACCTGAAGATCTGACCCACAAGGCAGTTGAGCATCGTAAGGAGATGCAGACCCATGGTGGCCAGCCCATGTGCACCATTGGTTTAGAATCACGGTTTTCCAACTCATCTAGGTGGACTCTCCGTGTTCGCCAACCAAGTTAGACCACCAGACATTCTCTTTTCGTCGTCTCGATTTTCTTAACAACACCCCCGCTACGACAAGGCAGTGAGTAGGACTTCCCTGACATTGGTTGTGTGCACGTGGCCATGTGAGAGCGTTTCGAGAGGGAGAGCTGACTCTTCTCACTCTGTATCATGTCAGGGCATTTGATGGCAATATTAATAATAAACCCATTAGTAATAAACATATTTGTACTACATAAGTTAACTAAAAATGTCGAGAATTCCAGTTATATGATCCACAGATTGTGATCTTATAATGTTATTCAGTCAATATTTTGAGAAATACATTCACAAATTAAACCATTAAAAGTTTATTAGATTGATAGTTGTACGGATGTTTTGTTCTTTTTTTGGAAAACTTTCGACTGTAATCGATGGTCTAATGGTTAAGTGCTCACGCGCGAGACTGATAGATCCCGGGTTCGAATCTCGAGGGGGGGCGGGATCGTGGATACGCACTGCTGAGTAGTCCCATACTAGGACAAAACGGCCTTCCAGTGTATCCAGGTTTTCCATGGTGACCTAGCTTCAATTGACTCATGATATGTTATCTTTAACATTCTATCTTCTCCTTATTATTTTTTTCTTTTCATCTAAAGTAAATCATGGCTGTCCAAAGGATATCCCTGAAATATGTAATGAAATGTTTCCTACATTATATACAAGAAGTAAATGGATTAAATCTAATTTTACTGTGTGTAAGTTGAACATTGAATTAATCTATTCATCTTTATAATTATTGATTTCCGATACATACTGATCACATAGTATGTATTAGTATACATGGGGATACTGAACTATATACTACTTGTTTGAAATATATTTCTGTATAGGGGATAGAAGGGTTAGATTGTTTAAGAGATTAAGATTGTCTAGTTTGTATCCAAGGTATCCATTTGTATTCTGTACTTCCTCTGAGATATAGAGGTTTTCAGAATTCAGTCAACTATCAGGTGAAAGAGAAAATGTGTGAGTCAATAGCTTTATCTGACATCGACCTTCACTTAGGATGAATTTGTGAGGTGCTCTGCATGCATGACTTCTCAATGTCGTCTGTCGTAAGAATTTCATATGATGGCAACCACCTTGTGACATATACCATAGTGTCAAAGAATGTTGTATAAGTTTTTTTATCCTAGTTGTTAAATGCTTTCTGGTAGCTAATAAATTTGATGTATAGCGATGAGTTCCATTCACTCAACCGGTAAGTAATGATCACTAGTGTTAGTAGTTGGTCGGTAGATAGTCATTCCTTACGAAATCCAGCCCATCGGTTTCCAAGTTAGGTGTCTATTGAGTGTTTATTCTGTTCAACAACACTCTGTATGAAAACCTTTGCCGGTACTGATAGTAATGTGATGCTTCTGTAGATCTCAAAATTACTGAGATCTATCTATCTCTTATATTCTCAAAAAATTAATTTACAGGTAGTACAGTGACCCCATAGGCTAACTGTTCTTGAATAGGGTAAGAACAACGAATTGAGAAGATTGATATATATTCATTTTCAATGGTTAAGACCATGAGTCAGTTAAAGCTAGACCTCCATGAATCAATTTTTAATAGTTGAGATCATGAGTCAACTGAAGCTAGACCAACATGGAAAACCTGGAAGCAGTGGATGGCCGTTTCATCCTAATATAGGAATTCTCAGTAGTGCTCATCCATGATCCAGTACCATTAGATTCGAACCGCGTATCTGTCAGATTCATGCGCTTGATTTCATAGATTGGTTGAAGTTAAACATTAACACTATTGGATGCCGGCTATCTCAATGGTCTAGAGGTTAAGCATTCGCACGCGAGATCGATAGGTCATGGATTCGAATCTCTCGAGGCGGGATTTTGAATGCGCACTATTGTGGAGTCTCACACTAGGACGAAACAGCTGTCCAGTAATTCTAGGTTTTCCATGGTGATCTAGCTTCAATTGACTCATGAATTCAATTATTAAAATTTATTGATTGAGATCATGAACTAATCGATGTTAGACCACCATTGAAAACCTGGAAGCACTGAATGGTCGGATTCATCCTATTGAAGGACTCCTCAGCAGTGCGTATCTCCACAATCCTATACTGATAATTAATATGTGCTTACTAGTGACTAGCTTCGTGATGGAATTCTCGGAGTTCTAGTGAGAAGCCGTGATCAGTGGAGATAATCCGTATTGGATAGAGACAGGTATCTACCTCAGTACAATGTGTTATAACTTGTTAATCAAATGTTACTTTTTGTATCTGGCCGTCACTGATTGTTATGTTGGAATCGCTGATCACTTATGCTCGGAATGAAGAGACCTCCACAATTCCCACAACGCGAAAGTAAGAACACAATGACTGGTATAAGTGAAGATCTATTAACCCTAAAACACTATGATGATGACGACGACCTTAGTCGAAAATACATTCATTTATATATTGATTGTACATCCATTTCTGTTAATAATTCAGATTAAATTACATACTCAGTTATAACACATCACTTACTGGGCATAGTTCAGGTCAATGGAATACAAGAATATCGTATATTATACAAAATAAAAAGAGATCATACTGGGAAAATAAAACCCTAATACTACACAGAATGATCATTCTATTGAATAAGAACGATAAGAATATTGAATCAAAACTCATAATTGAGTAAATCAATCGAATTTTGACTTTTCTTTGTATCATATCTATCACAATGAAAGTTGATTGCACAATATCACAAATTGTTTTAAGTTAAACATTAACACCATCGAATTCCAGTTAACTCAATGGTCTAAAGATTAAGTATTTATGCATAAGACTGATATGTTCTACGTTCGAATCTTTCAACATAGGATTATGGATATGTACTGCCAAGTGAGGGAGGGGGGGAAAGGGGAGTCCCAGGTTCTCCATAATGATCTAATTTATATTACATTCTTAATCACATACTATATTCTATTCTTTATGTATATATATATATATATATATTACTTTTAGCTGCTATAATACGTATATCTGGTACATTATGGTGGTTTGGTAAAAATGATCATTATCAACCATTATTTCGTTTTCATATATTAAAAACATTTGATTCAGATATACATCCATATGATGAAAAAATGATATTAACCTATTCATGGCCATTAAAATGTATTTGTATTAATGAAATTATAATTGGTAAAAAATATTTAATGTTAACTCATTCATTTCAATCAAGACAAACATTATATATAACAAAGAATACTGTATTTTTATCACGTATAAAACGTTATACAAGAAAATTAGCAGTAAGTTTATTGAATCTAGTTATTCAAGTTCATTTATTTCTAATAATATACAAATTGATATTATGGTGTGTGCTACTTATGTAAACATAAGTAGTATATAACGTGAGCACTGAACAGAATGTCTGGTACGGAGAGGTGGCGTCTGGTGGAGTGTTCTGGCGGGGCGGCTTTGGCCGTAGCGGGTGCTGTCGACGGAGAGGAGCGGTGGGACGTGCGGCTGCTAGGCGGACATCGGATGTAGATGGCTCAGCAGGCCGGTGGAGCACGGGAGTAGACGTCCCAGGTGCCGGGTGGAGGTCGGATGTTGGTTCCCAGGCAGGTCGACGTACCTATGGAGGTCAGCGCGCCGCAGACTCGACATTTTGACGAAGGGCGTAGCACAGACTGCAGATGGAAGAATGTTGCACGGCGAGCATGAACTCCCGCAAGAACGAATGCTTATGAAGGGGGGACGAGTGTGGTGTGTGCTACTTATGTAGACATAAGTAGTATATAACGTGAGCACTGAACAGAATGTCTGGCGGCAGAGAGATAAGAAAACTGATAGCATTCGAAGGTTATTTCATGATAGTATGAAACTTTCCAGATGTGTTCATTCACAGTCCTTCAAGCAAGATATAAAGCCTAGGACTTTCGACTTTATATAAGTTGATCGGTATTCATCGGTGTAAACTTCAATAAAACAATTGTTCAGTACTTCCAAGTTTTCATTGATGGTCTAGTTTAGATCGACTCATGAATTCAACTGTGAAAATAGTACAATCTCTATACATCCCTATACTAAGAACACAACTTTGATGTTAAATAATCTATAAATATAAACATAGATTCGAATATTAATCGAATCTAAATACCATAATATTTACCAACTATCATTCTATCTTTCTTTAAGTCGGAATAGTATGAAGATAAAAATGAACGATCTATGTATCATAAAATAATCACAATTTATCAATATCAAGTAAAGAGATAATGTGATGAATCATGGATTATTTCTCATTATGACTTTGCTTAACATTATGATAAGACTATCATTTATGAAGGATCTTTCATTGATGTTAAAGCGACCTTACGAAGAGTCATCAACGAACTACAGTTAAATGTAGATTACAAAACAATTTAAAGAATAAAGATTAGGATCTTTAGTTGATGGTTACAGTTACGAATTAGATTTAAGATTTTCATTACAAAATGATATGAGTTAAAATCTCAAAACTTTATTTATTTATTTATTTTAACACATAAGTATAGGTACAGGGAGGCACCAAATACATATGCGCCACACAAATCTCATCTTATTTGTGTGAGGGCTGTGATACTGCCCGGGTGCCCAAACCGAAGCAGGTGGTTTTCTTAGGGGGCCACACTCCGAGCCTTTGACCTAAAGGTCTAGTCCACAAGGCAGTGGAGCACCGTGAGGAGATGCAGTCCCATGGTAGCCGGTGACCAACGATTGGTTCATACGCCATTTGTTCCTTCAGGATACTGGAGCCAGCCCATATGCACCATTGGTTTGGGATCCGGTTAAAGCTCCAGACATTCGCTTTTCGTCCTCTCATTTTCGTAAACAACACCTGTTCCACGAGAAGGCAGTGAGTAGGACTTCCCTGGCAGGGGCTATATACACATGGCCATGTGAGAGCATTTCGAGAGGGAGAGCGGACTCTCCCTCCTCTCGGCCGTACCAGGGCATTTGGGGGCAAAATCTCAAAACTCACTTTAATCAAATTGATGAATAAATTTTGCGCCAATATTCAAGATCTGTTTATCTTAAATCTGATTGGTTTATCCATATTTCTTATAAAAGTTCTTAGTAATCTATGAAATTATCTAAGTTACAACATACTAACCCAGTGTTAAATTGATAATTCGTCAAATTGCAAATTAATTTGAACTATGATAATGATATGATTATTTGATGATTGAAATTGTGGAATATAAAGATCTTCTTCTAGATATATTTCAACTAAGAGGTGAGACTCTAATTTATGAACGACCTTTGAACAAATCTTAAGTGACCTTGAGAAATATTAGCCAGTTGTCAAATAGTCAGTATAGAGTAAAAAATATATTATACAAAACTAAAGAATGAAAGTGATTCAAAAACTTGTCAAGTTGAGAAAGAGGTCCAAAAGTTCTAAAATCGGAATGCATACAGTAGAAGAAATCATCCATATGGCTACCGAATAGTCGGCATCTGGAGCCATGATAAAGTCTCAAAAACTCTTTCAGCCTCGACCGCATAGTTTCAATGTTGTTTATGTGTACTCCGGTTGTTGAGTACATAAAATGCCATTTGTGAATAACGACACCATGCATATAACCAAGCCTATGTAGGAGTCTGTACTCTCTCCAATCGAACGTATATATTGTAGTACCTGGCTTCAGCCAGTGTTACTGGTGCTTTTATGATCCAGTTCGCAATAAGTATCATAATTTTCCTTAGTTAGGAATTATACATAGGGTTGTCATCACGAACTGACATCAGCTATAATACCAGAAACATATTTAACCAAATGGATGAAAGGCTTTCGCGTTAAAATTTGAGATCTATTATCTTATACATGATTGATTCGTTCACAAATTATAGTATCGCCGTTTTATTTGTTATAGCCGCTCAATTATCACGTTTAGTACAAAACTCCTTGTGAACCGATTGTACGTTAGCATTAAGCACTGAAATTGGCACCGTAAACTTGAAATCTCTAAAACGCTTTTGGTTTCGCTCGTCCATAAATTAGACTCTCGCCGAACTAAGACAATGATATGATCATTTGAAGATGAAAATTGTGAAGTATAAGGATCTTCTTTTAGATCCTTCTATGAAATATATATATATATATATATATATATATATATATATATATATATATATATATATCAAATTAGGTGTTGTGGAGATTGTCAAGTTTTTGATTGAGATCATGAGCCGATTGATGTTAGACCACCAGTAAAAACCTGGATGCACTAGACGGCCGTTTCGTCTCAATCTAAATTAAAAACTTGACAATCTCCACAACACCTAAATTGATAATTACAATGTGCTCACTAGTGACTAGCTTCTTGAAGGAATTCTCCGAGTTCTAGTGAGAAGCCATGACCAGTGGAGCTAATCCGTATTGGGTAGAAACAGGTGTCTATCTCAGTACAATGGAAGATGGTTGCGCAATTTCGTGGATTGGTTGAGGTTAGACATTAACACCGTTGGATGTCGGTTCACTGGTCGAGTAGGTTAAACGTTCGCACGAAAGATTGAAGGCTCTCGGTTCAAATCCCGCGAGCGGGATCGTGGATGTGCACTGCTGAGGAGTCCCACAATAGGACCAAACGGCCGTCCAGTGCTTCCAGGTTTTCAACGGTGGTCTAACATCAATCGGCTCATGATCTCAATCATATATATATATATTTTTTCTTTTCTTTTTTAGTGTTGGAAAGGTGCATGCACTATAAGATCTAGTCGTAATCGTAAACGAAGTCATTTTATACAATCAAATACTAAACTACTAAATCATAATGATAGAAAATTAAAATAAAATTAAAAAGAAAAAAACAAACAAACAAACAAACAAACAAGATATTGAACATTTTCAAAAACAAAACAAACAAATAAAGAAAGAAAGAATTAACCCCCACCTCCACCTCCACCTCCATCTCCACCCCCATTAACATTTTTACTAAAAAAACACTTATAGTAAACAAGGAATTATTCAATCTAATTCATATACTATATATTTCCCATTATGTTCTCTGATAACGATATGAATTGTTTTTCTTTTTTTTGTTTTTGTTTTTTTTCAATATAATTGTTTATTCATTGTTTCCATGGACATGAATACTTTATTGGCAACAAGAGTTGTCTATAATCAAATATAATTTCACTGGTTTATTGCAAGGGGTAATGTTTGTTTATTTTATTTTATTGATTTATTTAAAACACATAAATATTGATATAAGGAGGCAACAAATAGATATACATAAGATAAATCATTTAATTTGTGTGAAGGCTAGGATACTGTCTAAATCAAAACATGTGGTTTTTTTTAGAGGGCTATATCCGGAGCCTTCAACCTAAAGATCTAATCGAAAATGTAGTGGAACAACGTCAGGAGATGCAGTTCCATAGTAGTCGGTGATCAACAATTGGTTTATACGTCAACTGTTTATTCAGGATACTAGAGCCCAAATACATCATTGGTTTGCAATTAGGGTTTTCCAACTCCCCCCTAGATGGAGTTTTCGTGTTCATCAACCCGGTTAAAGCTCCTCCTAATCTAGTAAACAACACCCTTGTCATGAGAGGACAATGAGTATGATTTCCTTGACAGTGGATGCATGTACGTGGCCATATGAGAGAATTTGGAGAGGAAGTGCTGACTCTCCCCAATTCCGACTAACCAGGGCATTTGACATACTTATAATGATGAGAATGACTTCTTCATTTTTTTATTGGTTGTTTGAATCTTCTTATTGACTATACGTATGTTCTAGATCCCACTGGTAGCCGAAATTCATCACTGCTTATAATGACTGGTTAATTAGGACGACTATAATAGAATGGATGTTTTATATCAGTCGTGGAGATTGTTGAATTTAGATTGATATCACAAATGAATTAATGTTAGACCATTATTGAAAACATGGAAGTTCTGGACGGCTGTTCCTTTCTAGCACAGAACTCCTCAGTAGTGTGCATCTACGATCCGGTATGTCAGACTCAAAACCAGTACCTTCGGTCTCGCGTGAGGACACTTAAAGTCTCAACCACTAAACTGTCGGATATCCAATTGTGTTGATTCCTAAATTCAACTAGTCCACGAAGTTAGACATTAACACTGTTGAATACCGGCTCAGCTGTTTAAAGGTTAAGCGTTCGCGCGCACAACCGGAGGTACTAGTTCTGATTTCCGTATACGGAATCGTGGATGCGCACTGCTGAGGAGTCCCATACTAAGACCAAACGATCGTCCAGTACTTCCAGATTTTCCATGGTGAACTACCTTAAATCGACTTATGATTCCAACTATTAAATTTGAATGAACAATATCATCTACATACTACGGCTAAATGAGGGTGATAAACCAGTGTGAGGAATCGCGATTAATATTGACAGTTGATAGTTAGAGTTAGCAATTAGATTTGATGGCTGACATCAGCTATGATACCAAAACTCTATTTAGTCAAATAAATGAATTCATTTCATGCCAAAATTCAAGACTCATTAACTTTAATCTGACTGGTTCCTTCATAAATTATAGCCTCGCCCTATGATCTTTATGAAGATACAGTGTTTTCGTTAGGTTGTCTTATAAGTTGAATTTAAAATAAAAACCAGTGAATACAATCAATGTTCAATATGAAAGCATAAATAAAAGTCACCAATAGTTCTAAACAAGAATGTACTCGCTTAATTAGTCTCAACAATTCTTTACAGACGTAAATATGTTATGGTTGAAGGGTTGACACTAACCCCGATACGGCCGAGAGTTGAGAGAGTCAGCTCTCCCTTTCTAAAGGCTCTTACATGGCCACGTGCACACAACCACTGTCAACGAAATCCTACTCACTGCGTTGTCGTGGCGGGGGTGTTGTTAAGAAAATCGAGACGACGAAAAGAGAATGTCCGGTGCTCTAACTTGGTTGGCGAACACGGAGAGTCCACCTAGATGAGTTGGAAAACCGTGATTCTAAACCAATGGTGCACATGGGCTCAAGGATCCTAAGAAAACAGTTATTGTATGAACGAATCGTTGTTCACCGGCTACTATTGGACTGCATCACCTGAAGTTGCTTTACTGTCTTGTGGATTAGACCTGTAGGTCAAAGCCTGGGGGAGTGACCTTTTCCTTATGCTAAATCAATTACACGTCAACCAGAACTAGTAGTCTTGAGTCGACTCCGTATCCTTATTAGTTCTCTCTATAGAAGCCTCTCGCCCAGCCCAGTCCGTTCAGTCCAGAACAAAAATATCAGCCTTTGCTATGTGAATACTACATACACATCGTATGTCCGGTGCTTTAACCGAGTTGGTGGTTGAGGACAATCCATCTAGGAGAGTTGGAAAACCCTGATGCACATAGGCTCCATTATCCTGAAGGAACAAATGGTGTATGAACCAGTCGATGGTCACCTGCTACCAGGGGACTACATCTCCCCACGTTGCTCTACTGTCTTGTGGACTAGACTTTTATGTCGTAGGCTTCGGGTGTGGTCCCCTAAGAAAACCACCTACCTCGGTTTGAGCACCCGGACAGTATCCAAGCCCTCACACAAATTGAATGATTTGTGTGGTGCATATCTATTTGGTGCCTCCTTGTACCGATGTTTATGTGTTTAAATAAATAAATGACGCTAACCACCAATTCATGAATAGAAACCCATTGCAATCTTTGTTTACAATAAACGATCTTATGTAATCTAACTGAAAGCATAGTTATTTATACGAATATTCGTCAAGATTAGAACGAATAGTTTGACAGATATTGGGCGCCGAGTATAGAGAAGTCATTATATATATAAATTATATTTGAAACAATCTCAGCGATTGAAATTTAAAATAATTCCAACGTTTCGTCCAGCCAACTTGTCTGGACTTCTTCAGGGTAATAATCAAAATCAAATATAATTTACATATATAATGACAGTTATTTAGCCAACAATTGTAAAGATTTACACGGTTTTCTTGTTTCATATCATCATGTGGCAATTTGGATGACTCTCCTGGTCTCCCACATTGTACGAATATTCAATGCACCTAAATTAATGGTTGCTCCAATTGTCAGAAATAGCATCAATCTCGTGACTTCCGAAAGAATTCGTCTTTCACCATGAGCCATCATAACGCTTCTAAATGAAAATCGTCTAACTACCAGGGTAGAGTTTAAATTACTTCTTAGTTTTTCTATGGGATGGGGTCGTTAACCCTATACCTAACCCTCTTCCTTGATCCAAGATTGGGACTGGCAGTAGCCCTAGAGGGGCTTCAGGCATTTTCATATCATCATAATAAGGTAATATTATGAGGAAAAAAGGGTTTGAGGCTGATTAGTCAATATATTTGAAGTACGTTATAGGTAAACACTAATTTGCTTAGACTTCTTTGTAACATTTTATTATTTTCCTGAATAAAATCAATTTGAAAGGATTAGTACTTTTCAGTAAACAACATCTGATATCATTCACATACGAGTTTAGAGAGACTGAACCATGATGACTCCAAGTTTTCATTTAGCCTTTCAGGTTCAGATTAGATCGGTTGTTCTGTAGTTAAGAAGACTGTAAGTGAAGTATTTATAAATATTATTTGCTTATGATCTACACATCTTTCAAGTCCTTCGTGCTCGATTACTTGGAATAACTGCAGATTTAAACTAGTGAATGTTTATAATCCAACTGCTTTGGAGCATCATCTTTTACAAGACTGAAATCATATTATTATGCTATATAGGGATAAATTAACAGTGTACTGGACTATTCACATCGACTATCTGTTGTGGTGATCCAGAAAATTTCTCGCAAAAGACAAGCAACAATCAGGAAACACTAAGAAGCATTTCATCCAATCAGCGTTCACTTGAAGTTTTAACCAGAAACATCAAGGAAATGAAATGTCATATGTAGAGTTTCTGATTGGCTGATTGCTATACTGCTACTATATTTAGTAGCACTCCAGACTCTTCGAGCAACCCAAGGACATTTAAAATATCATAAAAACCCAATATTTTCTGTATTAAAATGAACCTTTGGAGTAAAGTACTTCCCGCGTACTTTGCGCCTTCTATCTCGTGTTCAGGTCGCTGTATAGTTCTAGCTTGAGGGTTTTCAAGAATAGCTTAGGAACCAAGTAAAGCGTTCAATTTGCAAGACTTATCACTATCCAATACTTTATTCACTATAGATGCTTGGTAAGGATTGGCGATTTGTAAAGTCAAATGGTTAGAAGAAACCACTTTGTTGTTCAATTAAACTAACTCATAAAAGTAATGAAAGAGTGGTAAGATTTGACAGTGATTACAATCACTTGTATAATAAGCTGATTATATTTCATTGATGACTAGAAGTAGAAGTAGTGTATGGGGAGGAGTCCCATACTAGGACGAAACAGCCGTCCAGTACTTTCAGGTTTTCCATGGTGGTCTAGCTTCAACTGACTCATGATCATAACCATTGAAATTACATGTATTAAGCATAATTCATGAGTCAATATCCTTCACTGAACAAAATAATAACTTGTTCTTTTCTTATTTCATTTGTCACCAAATAACTGAAGCTGTAAACCAATGCTTTAGTCATCTAATCATCAATTGTTATGATGAAATTAAGAATCTACTTTGTTCTAATCCGATTTGCGCTACTATGACTACTACTACGACGACTACTTCTACTAGGATTACAATGACTACTTTTACTATTACTATGACTACCACGACCACTACTAGGAATACGACGACGATGACTACTTCTCCTATTAGGATAACGACGACTATTTCCTTTACTACGACTACCACAAACACTACTACTTCTACTGCTAGGACTACGACGACAGCTTTTACTATTACTTCTACTACTTGTACTACTAGGACTACGACGACTACTAGTTTAGTTATTGTAAATCTAAATAAGAAATTCAGTGTATTCTTTTTTAGAAAAGAAAAGAGATTATATAATTAGAATATTTGATTGAAGTAAATGATCATGTAAAAATAAACAAAGAAAAGAAGAAAAAACAAACAGTTTTCTTAGATAATCCGTTAAAACAGGATTTAAAGAAGAAATAATCGAGGAAGGGAGGGAGGGTAGAATTAAAAAGGAATCAGATTAGTTGATTTAATTGGTTGACAAAGAGAACCAATAAATGATTGTGCTGTTATAAATCCTGTTGTAATAATAACAAATTCAACATTTGCTGGAAAAAGGAAGAAAAAAAAAAGGAGAAGAATGACTGAATGAGTGAAACAGAAGCAAAAGAGATACAATTATTTTGATGATCAAATAAATTTCAGTGAATATTCAATATCAGAAGGGGGGTTTTGTGGAGATTTTAGTAATTTTTAATAGTTGGGATCATGATTCAATTAAAGTTATATCACTATGGAAAACCTGGAAACACTAGACGGTTGATTCGTCCTATTGTGGGACTCCTATTATTTATTATTATTATTATTATTTGAACACATAAATATTGGTACAAGTAGGCACCAAATACATATGCGCCACACAAATCTCAATTGATTTGTGTGAGGGCTGTGATACTGCCCAGGTGCCCAAACCGAAGCAGGGGGTTTTCTTAGGGGGCCACACCCCGAGCCTTCGACTTGAACGTCTAACCCACAAGGCAGTGGAGCATCGTAAGGAGATGCAGTCCCGTGGTAGCCGGTGACCAACGATTGGTTCATACGCCATTTGTTCCTTCAGGATACTGGAGCCCATGTGCATCATTGGTTTGGGATCCGTTTAAAGCGCCGGACATTCGCTTTTCGTCCTCTCATTTTCGTAAACAACATCTGTTCAACGAGAAGGCAGTGAGTAGGAGTTCCCTGGCAGAGGCTGTATACGCGTGGCCATGTGAGAGCATTTCGAGAGGGAGAGCGGACTCTCCCCATTCTTGGCCGTACCACGGCATTTGGGGGACATTTATCACTTGGACCATAAGATCATTCTGACTGAAGTCTAGTTTTAGATTTACCCAGAACCAATAGAACTTCGTTTAATTCTGAACTCAGAGCTTAATTTACAGAATCTCTTGTACTCTTGATTATACGGTATTGTCATAATTTCATATGCATTTAATAAAATGTCATCTTGTTGTGAGTCGGATAACTCGCCAATTGTATATTTTGATTGTAGTATAACCAGGTTTGAACCCACTATAGGGAATGTATGTGGTGCATATATATTTGGTGCCCCCTTGTACCAATATTTATGTGTTCAAATAAATAAATAAACTTGCATGATTCAGAACAGTAAAGAAACTGTATGATAAATTACTTATGGACTAATATTATATGTATATTCTTATTGTATAACTACTATTAAGTAACTATATTATATACAGATTCATATTCTTTCCATTATAAGCTCTTATTTGATCGATTTACTATTATCATACGATTTACGATTATTGAAATATTCCAAATTTATTAGTAACAGGTCTCTCACAATCACAGTCACTTTTTGGCAAGATCTTGTACAAATGTTATTTTTTATTTTATGGTGTAATGTGGTCTGATTTTGTTTTAATATGATTTGTATGGCGTAGGCTGAGATTGATGTTCTGGACTAAACAGGTAGGGCAAGGCGATAAAAGGACCAATTGGAACTCTAGACTGTCGAAATTAGCAATCGTATTCCGCAATAATCGTATAGCTAAGAACATAACAATTGGCGACGGAGATTTGGGATCGTACTCTTTTCCCACTCCCTTTTGTATGTTGATCATACTACTTATTAATATTCAGTAACTACTTTCAATCCTAATAACTTTGAGAGAATTACCATGTTATGGCTATATCTGGTTGTGATATTTCGAAGTATTTACACAGACTTAAAATCCATGATAAGTTCTACATTTCGGTCTGTTCTTTCTGATTTTGATAATCTCCCACCAATTCCCAAAAAGCTATAAATTGTCATACAGTTTATCGTATGTTGTTGTAAATACATTTATAAAATCATTTAAGGAGGTATCTTCCTCTGATTTCACACAAATTTGGTGAATACCACAGACATCTCTCACGAATTGAGGTTTATCATGCATTTCAAACATGTCTGCAATAACAGGATTGACTCTGCAGATCATCTTCCACCGCGGTTTGCCAGATTTGACGAGTCACTTAATAGCATGCTTTGAAGCTACATTATATCACATCAACAGATGAGTTGCTCAAAGTTATCATCCATACCTTAAACAATACCAATTCTATGAGGATTCCATATTGACATTATAAAAACAATGGAGATATTATTCTGTTTCAATCCGCTTAACTATGGTATTACAATTCGAGGTACCATTAAATTAGACCACTTGAAAATATTACTCTTAACTTGAAACATACACGAAAATAAAGAAAACAATCACAATATTAAACCGATAGTAACTTACCATCTTCACTAGCAGCTATAGTTCTTAAAGTTGATATTTCTGCATGACTCACACCGCCAACAAAACCAACGACTACAATACGCGGTTTATTTGAATGATTTTTCATATTTAAACAATCACTTTTGGACGTGAAAGGCAAATCATCTCTAACTGGTAGTTGTACTTTAAACTCTGGAGCACATATTAAGTTAGACAGTGAAGATGTTGTACGATTAGAAGTTGCAGTCAACGAATTGTTCGAAAGAAAACCACCAGTTTTCCCTGCTGTCGATGTTAA